CGTCTACGCTGTGTTTGTAGAAAAAAATTTTTCTCTTCTCATAGAATAAGATGAGTGCAAAGCTTTTCCTTTTTTCTTTTCAAACATTACTTTGCCTGCTCTATTCGGAAACTTCACTGCACTCAAAAAGTTTTTCATTAGAAAGTATGCTGTTCTTCTCAAATTAATCCATTAATCCTGCTGTGAATGAAAAGTGGCGATGCGAGGACGAGTTTCTCTTCTCCATGATAACTCTAGAATGTGCTTTGTTCCAGCAGTTCGTTGGCAGCTGGGGACAATCATCTGGACAACGATACCGCATTTTCCGAGTATACTGGTCTAGAGCATATACCTTTCTAATCGTTAACACTTCTGAGCTCCGTCGCCCTTATCTACTGTCACGTGATTCTCAACGGTCCCTTCACGAAATACCGGCAGTATAGTTTTTTCCGTACTCTTATACGTTTGACGACTAAGTCGAGACGTAGGAAAACCCCATATGCGAGATCTTACCGTCTTGATCATCCTTCGTCATCAATCTTCGCTCCAAAAAGTCCAAAATCGCACATATTTTACTTACCATCCTGTAAAATTAATGGAAGCGAAATTTCTCTGAGGTTAAAGCGAGTGGCCCATGGCGAAAAGTTTGCATAAGAGCACTATCGGCTATTTACAGAGGAGATCGGCCACATTCCCGCAAAAAAAAGATGACGATCCAGAACCACTAGTAGCAACTCTTGGATATACTCATCGCCTTCTTCGTAAAAAGACTTGATTTGCTCGTAAGATAGAAAAGAATCTCATTGTTAAATGAGAAACTCGCGCATACGTGGGATACTTTCGCGAAATCTTTCTCCTACAAATTGCAAATAAAAATGGTTTCAACTGAGGACTACGAGCTATTTGAAAGGTCACCAATCAAATACGCTCAATCCCGTAATCAGAAAAATTCAAATCGCAACTTTCCCACCCTCTACAGAATTTTCGATAGAAGAACAAAACAAAAGGTTTCAATCGGTCGCAAAACACATAGTGCCAGTTGCTAAAGAAGCGAGAGGAAGAAGGAATTTATAACGAGCAGTATCACCTGTACCGCCAGTTGTCCCGTTTATCGTCGAGTGACTCGAGCGAGCGCCAGTAAATCTTCCAGTTTTCCCTGTCGCGTGCAAGAGTAGCCCGGTGGGTTCTGCTCGCTCTAGGGACTCGTCGAGCATCACATCTTTCTTCAAGGCTGTTTGTGAAGAACTCTGACCACCTTACTGGGTCTTACTGCAACCCGTTCAACATACCGAGGAATCCAGTCACTAACGGCTCCTGTCCATAGGTTGTCATTCATACGCATTACGTGTCCGGCCCACCTTATGTTCGACTGTTTGGCGCACAGAACGGCATTTTTAATTTTTGATCGTTGACGCGGATCGGAGCTTCGGATCCTATCCTTTAGTTGTGGGAAACGGAACAACCGATCAGTCGAGAAGGTGAGTACTGAGTCGGGTGTTCATTCTTCTCTTCACTACATCCTCGATGCTCTTAAAAACTCCTTCAGCCGGTTGTTTCCTTCTGCTAAGCTCTGGAGCTAGGTCATTCATTACATTGATTTCCCGACCAAGATAGATATAACTGGAGCATTCAGAGATATTCCTTTCATTGAGCGTGAATGGGGCATACGAAACTAATCCGTTCCACATGACCAGTGAGACGTGTGAAGAGCCGAGCCAGTGTGTTTACGAAAACTGGCGGGAGGTTATTCAGATGTTCTGGTTCTCTCCTGTCCGGACCTAGCGCTGTTCGATTTTTCAGCGACGAAATGGCATGTAGGATTTTGGAAAAGTGAACCGGTGGTACACATATTCACCCTTCTTTATTTCATATGACGGGAGGTCGACGTGGCTATCGAAGAAATCTGAGTAGTTTTCGTGGACGGTTTTCTCCATTGCGATTTTGGACGCTGTAACTGTTCCATCTGGACGTCGGATTGTAAACATTTTGGTCTTGTAATTGGCGAAGCTTCGGCGCACTTTGCGAATGCTTTTCCTAGCCTGTACAGCTTCGACCATTACTGCTGCTTTTCTCTCTTTAAGGTCTCCTTTTATCGCCTGTCTGCATTGTTTTGCAAGTTCGGATGTAAGCTTGCGGTTGCTTGCAGCTCGTACGATTCCACGCTGGCGTATCAGCTCGAGCGTTTCTGCAGACAGACGTCGCTTGGTGACTTTCGAATTCTGACCTTTGATAGCGTTAACGTGAAGATGTTGAATGACCCGATCGTATCCTTCGTCGATGTTATCGACAACTGCATCTTTCCAACAGCTGACTTATGAATTGAATAAGACCAGTTTGCGGTGGTTCTGGGACTTCGGTTTTGGAATTTAGCGGTTTTTCTCCTTTCCGCGAGAAATAGAATCTCGAAGGAGGCGAAGGTCTGATCCCATGTGGAATTTTGGGACAACATCGACATCGGTTAGGCAAAAACTTGTATACAACGATGTGGTCCATTTCGTTATGGTACTCTCAATTGGGAAACTCCCACGTCCAGCGTTGAGGGTGGGGCTTCTGGAATTGCGAGTTACCATGGATTGTTTTGGTCGCCATGATAAACTTAGACAACCGCTCACCCTGTTCGTTCCATTCTAATCCGTGGGTCCCAATGTGACGTTGTTCAGACGTTCTTCTTAGTCCAATCTTGGCGTTGAAATCTCCAATGATGACCTTGAAGAATGTGTGGTCTTCTCGGTAGTTCTTCCAGTCCATATAGAACGCCTCGATTTCTTCTTCGTCATAATTTGATGTCGGAGCGTAAACAACGAAGATTATTAAAGCCGGAATTGATCCACGCCTTCTTAATCGTAAATGTCCGATTCGGGTTGTAGGTTGTTCGAATGAATCGATGTTCATGGGCAAACTCGTGTTGACGAGAACGCCAATGCCGTCGACTCTACTGTCGCATGTTCCGAGGAACAGTTCTTCTCCGGTGTCATAGACGGCGTTGAAAGGCTGGCGTCTTGTCGTCTCGGCCAGGCCGATGACGTCGTACTTTACCTTCTCGCTTGCATGAGCAAGTCTCGGGGACTCGAGTGCATAGAGAACTCGGGTGCAACTGTGCCTCCATTGTAGGTACAGATCGTCACTATAGTTCTTTGTAATCCAGGCAACTTCCATTGACCCTGAGATTTCAGGAGCCTCTCCCTACTTGCCCTACCCAACGCTGCGAAAGTGGGTACTTTTTCGGAATCAGGGGAAAAAGGCCCGTTTTTTTTTACGGTGTTTGGCATTTTTGATACCCACATATAGCTTGCTGGGCTCTGAACGTGGGGGCTGGGTATACTCACGGGTAGCTTACCAGGCTCTCCCAGAGTGGAAATGGGGCTTATTTGTTGGAGACGACTCCTAACCGCGTCCTGTATACTTCCCAGTCACTTGATTGCAGGCTTTTGGTCGAATTGACTCGTAGAATACAATCCGCATAAGCAAGAAGGCACCCACACACTCATGCATGAATACACCTAGCAAATACAGAAAGTATGTGCCAAATCAGCGCAGCAGAAACAGGGAGTCCATTTCCTGGAACCACCTGCATCTCAGGGAAGCAAAGATCGCTTTTGGTCTGCGATTAACCCCTATCCGCCACCTGGAAAACGCCACGTAGCCTCGCGGCTAACCGCCTCGAGATCCCTTATGTGAGAAAGATCCGTAGAACGAGCAGTAATACCAAAAAATGGCTGTTTGGAGCAGGTAAAAAAATGAATATTCCAAAACAAAAATGTCAACCGTTTGCGAAATATATTTCGCTAATAATTTTGTTCAGCGAAGATGAGACCTGTAGTATGATTCGCTTTGGCATGGGAACTGAGAAGACAAACAGGGGCACAACTGCAGGCCTCTGCATCATCATTGCAGAATGCCTCAGAAGTCACAAACTACACTCACTTCTCCAAGACTGTTAACAACACGTCCTGAAAAGCAAACGCTCTCGTGTCCCTGGCAGAAGTGGTGCACCGACAATTATACCGAAAATGAATGGACGAAAAAACATTTTCTAGAATCGTGAAGCCTACTTGTTGAGAGCACTCTAGCAGCTTCGTGAAGATTACCTTATGGCAGATATCATCGACCGTAGACCAGGTAGAGTATGCATGATCCCAACAAGAATTCTAGGTTATAGTTCGCATCCGTACTTCCACTATGGTCACAGGGTTTCTGCATCGATCCATTATACTACTGATTAGAAAGCGTATTTAAAAAAAATATCTTTTATTGAAGATATTTATTCGTTCAGCCGCTTAGTTTTCATAAACAATGAAGTTACTTAAGTACAATCAAAGCGGGATTGCGTGCCCATCTTGCAGACGAAATCGTTATCTTTTCAAGGAGCCTTGGTGAGTGAGAGACGGTGTTAAAGGAGAACACGAAAGCAGTGAAAGAGGAATGAGTGAGAATAAATTGGAAAAAAATTTATTTCATGAAAAGCCACAGTTTGGTGGAAGACGGGCGGAGAATGGTTTGATTTATTACAAAGGCTGTATCCTTCGTCTACCTACGCTGTTTTATGAGCACATAGAAGGTTGATCTTCTGAAAAAAAAAGTCTTGTGGGATCCAAATTTTGTCTCGAATTCTTACCTAAATACACTGTTGTCCTACGCTGACAGCTAGGTTAGAAAAGCACTGAGAGCTTGGAACACTACATGAGAATGCTCAAACGATGTTTTGTAGAAACAACAGGAATAAACCACGTGAAGTTGAACAACATAGGTGAGATACTTTATTAATATCATGCTTTTAATATTCAAGGAATGTCTAAGGGAGACGTAGATGTGATGGTGATATGACCAGAACAGTCGAAGATAAATTGGTAAGAAAAACGGTCGAGTGGATCGCACGAGGATTAAAGTGCTCTTCCGAACGGCCACATAAAGGATGGGCGGAAGCGTCTGTCAATTACAATTACCAGTATTCATCGCTTGAAGCGGTTTATGAGAACGAGAAGGACACTAGAAGAAGTCTCCATTGACGGGACGGACATCTGCTATTGGCCGGCAGCACGGGAAAACCAGGCGAATGAAAGGTGTGGTAGGTTGCGTCTGTCACGTGAACACTTCTCTCCAAACATTGTTGAAATAAGTGGTTTCTAATCAGTCAAGATCCTTTCTTAAAAGTTGGAAAAAAATTAATCTTAACAAGTTTTTTTTTTCGTTTATTCCTCGTTTATTCTTCCTCTTGTTCGCTGGACAAGGTTATATTCATGGTCGCAATTTTAATTCCTTATTGTAAACCCAGAACTCAATTTTAAAAACCGCTGTAGAAATTAAACTAATCCTTTTCCAGCATTAGAACAGATGTCATTAAATTATTTGATCCTAAATTTAAAAACGATACCCAGTACCTTGAATTGAAGACAACAAGTAGGTTTGAAAGATCCACGATATAGTTTATATACGGCCCAATCGCCTCTACTATTTTAGCTTCAAAAGTATTCAGAAGCAGAGCTGCTGCATTGCAAGCAATAAAGAGAAGAACTACAAGTATCTGAAACGCGTAAGTTAGTCGTTATTTAGTGGACAAGCACAGCAAAGGAACTTGCCAAAGAAATCGTGTCTCCTGTATTCGTACCTCCCTCTCCAAATATTGAAGCACCTAGATATTGCAGTAGATTCAAATTTATATAAAATAAACAATATAAATGTAAACTTACCAATAATGAACGTATTCAAAATAACGAGTATGATGAGTGGGCCAACAGCTAAGAATATTGCATACATGTATTTGTAGTAAACTTCCTGATATCTGAATGAAAACGATGTATAGTAAGAGATAGCAAATGTGTAATAAATACAAGTACTCTAAGTTTATAGCCCTATCTCTCAATGAAGATAAAATCATAGGTTGTTGGAGAGACGCGGTTCTTTCAAGTAACCTAGGGTCTTCCTTAAACTTCACTGCGTAAGGAGACAGAAATTCAGTAGAGTGATAAATGCAATGATGAATTTATGAACTCTAGATAGAGGAAGCACCGTAAGGTTGGTGGGAAGACGATGGCGAATTTTCATTGGCAACTTTTGTATGCGGCAGCTCGACTCCTACAGAGCTTTATTTTTCAAAGATATTGGAATATACATATTTATTGGAGCCACCTACAATATTAAATTTTTGGAAAAGCGTTTTTTCTAGCCTTTATTGCTAAACAATTAATCAGAAAGTATTTTTCGAGATTTTGTAAAAATGAAGGATGATTGGCGAGAGGTCCGTCGACGAATTGGAGAGGAGGAATATCGCAGCTCCGCTCAGTCAGCTTTGCGGAGATAGTTACTGCTCTTGCACCAAACTAAAAGAATGGTAATAAGGAGAATAAACGCAGAAACTTCATAAGCTCTGCTTTACAAACGATATTGTTCAAATTTGGTTCCAACAACTCTAAGCAATAGACCGTCTAAACGCAAAAACCGTTAATGGCATAGAAGAGTCTTAGATACGAGTTAGCGAGCAACCCTTTGATTCTCATCAGTTGAGACTGTTATTATTATTGGGATAATAAAAAGAAGGTGAACCGTTCGGCGTTAAGAAATTCCTGTGGAATGCACTATGCACTGGACTCCATTAAGCATCTTAGAGGTGACTGAATGCTTATCTGGCCAACATTATGACTTACGGTGGCTTATGGGTATCAGATCAGTGCTAATGTCCTCCCATGCAAGTTAGGTAATAACCTGCGGCATCTGACGGATTGGTGGGCATCTCGCGCACGATCGTAGAGAGGATCAGGAGCGTGTTACATGACACCTACAACCATTGCGCTATACGCCGCCATATTTCGAGAATGATGAATCAAAGGCAACGTGTCAATGGAAGGTGTGAGCGTAGCTAAGCAAAAAGTGAAAGCGTGTGTAAACGGTCATAGAAACTTGCACGCTGCTGTAGGGGAGTAGGACAACGAAGCGAATAGAAGAATTATCGAGGTCCGAAGTTGTACAAATTGACCGTATGAGAATCTAAGTACGTTATAAGAAAGCTAAGATTATGCAAAAGCTAAAAGCACTAAAAGTGAACGGTTTTTGTGAAAACGTTCTGCAATTAGAGCTGTGGATGAGAACATTCGCGAACAACAGCATGATTGCTTGGGCTTTTTTAACATGATGTTCTGGACTATCTATTGCTGCAAGTAACGTTATGTTAGAGGCAAAGGCAGTACGGGTAAAGATCTGAGACCAGCGTGCAAAGTGGTAGAGGATAAAGCGTTTGGCGTTGATCATTCCTTTAGAGGGATGAAATCTATTCGACTTCATCAGGAATGCCAAACTTGTTAACAGAGCGATGAACGAAAGATATGGCGAGCTTACGAAGAAGCGAAGTAAAACGGTTCATTTCGAGTTTTTTGCTCTAATATATTTTTACGTGACCAAAGTATTATGCAAGCAAGCTGACAGCATTGTGAGCATCATTTGGCAAGCCATTCATAGGGTATATGAGTATATTTTACCTACGGCCATCAAACCAAATAGTTGTTCACTAGATGCTTTTTGAGCACGCTTAAAGTAACACGCATATCCGTTTACATTGTAGTCAAATTTTCCGAAGATTTTAAAGTGAATTATGATTTCATGGTAATCTTTGTGTTGATCAGCTGGTCAGATGAAGCCCATTGGACTAAATTATAACGTAACAGGGATAGTAGCCGGGTTACAGAATCTGCTAGGTTCAGCCAGTAATCAAATACTTATTCTCTGAAACATACCGCTCTACCATCTTTTAATCTCTCTTAATCTAGAAGTACTTAAAAAAGTAATACACTTCCTGCTTTACAAAACTTATACATAAAAAAACTTCATAAAACTTCAGCAGAATTTTGCAATCAGATATTTCAGCTAACTTACAATTCGTTGTATCTCATAGTCTCTGGGCAAACTTCCCATGAGGAGCCTCCGAGGGTTTCATGAAAACAGTCGATAACTATGGCCTCGAAACAATGAGGAATATTGTACAGAACGGAGAATATAAACACAAAAACGATGCAACGACGAATAAACTTCGATTTTGCCACGGAATTTTTCACATTTTCAGGTAGGCAGACCTTAAGAAGTATAATATTATTGGGCTAACAGAGTTAAGTCGAATTCAAATAATTTTTTGCATAGAACCACTGCTAGACACGAGCAGGTTTTAGGTTTCTGACGAAAAACATGAAGTATAGAATCGGAAATGTGCCGATACCGTAAAGAGTGCGTGTTTTGGAGAATGAGGGGGATGATAATTTCCATAGTATTTCACAGAACTTGTAGCCTGTTTTTTGGTTCTCTAAGCATACTGTGTTTCAAAAAGGAGTAAAAAACTGACAAATCGGGATAAAGGTTAAAAGATTAAGCTCTCGGCGTTGATCAATCTTTGAGGGATGCGCCATGCATTCGACTTCATTAAGTATCGCTGGAGGTGATTGAATGCATATCTGGCCTTTACAATGACTCGCGGTGGCATACCGATGTATCGAGCCAGTACTCCGCTAACCTCCCAGACAAGTCTGGTACCAATTTGCCGACTCTGGAGTGATGGAGGGCTTGGCGGGTCATGAGAGCGGAAACCGATTTCACGTGTGTGTTGCAGTACGTCTCCAACCACTGCGCCACACGCGTCTTTACAAGTCGGAAAAGGTTACGAAATTCGAGAATATTGTTGAATTGTCAACGAATTCTGTTCAGTACTTAACAGCACGGAATCATAAGGATCTAAAAAACGCCAAAAGTTAGGCTAAAGTTTGAATTTAGGTGAGATAGAGAGGAATTTCCAAAATTTTTATCTCCATGAAACAGTTTTTTTAAATAGGTTTTCCTATACAAGCATCTGAACTCCTTGACTATTGTGCACAAAGACAGTGAGGATATTTCTGACAAACATGTAATGACAAATCGCTATTGCTGTATCAAACAAAGGAAAAGATGAAAACATCACCATAAACTGCAAAATTGGAGGCAAAAAAGCAAAAATATGAAGCATAGTGGGAGTCGAAGCTAACCTTAGCAAAGCAATCGGCTGCTGCGAAGATAGTGAAGTACACCGAACACGTCTGTGCAGTCATACCCATAGGAAAAACAATAGGTGAAAATAACTGAAGGAAAATTGACGTCTTCAAGTAGTACATATGCAAACATGATGAGACGAGCTGTACCTACCCCAAATATTCGTGTTAAATTCAGAGAGAATTTTCTGACACTGTCAAGAAAAAAGAGGAAAATTCCTGTTAGAATGACAGCGCTGTCCGAACAGCCTAATGCACACAAGTAAAGGTTAGTGGAAGACCGCATCTCTAAAACAAAGCAATCAAACTTCATATCCTGATTCTGAATTGTTTTGTTTTACCAAGCGCACAGGTTATGACAAAACTCTGGGTTTTTATTCGTCCTAATGTGCTCAATTATTAACATTCTTATCAATAATATATTAATTTCACGTGTATAACCTGTCGTTCTCACTGATCGTCGACTGACTAAATCGGGCACCATTGAATCCTCCATTTTTCCGTGTGATAATGCAGTGGGTTTTGCTGGCTCCAGCGGCGGTCTCTCGAACATCCTACCATTCTTATAGGGTTCTTGTGAAGAACTCTGGCAATCGGGTCGGTAGTCTTCGTGCAGTGCGTTTGACATCACAAGGAATTAATTCACTAACAGCTCTTGTCCATCGGTTGTCGTTTATAGGCATTATGTGTCCGGCCCGCCTTATCTTCAACTGTTTGGTGTACAGAACGGCATCTTTAAATTTTGATCGTTGACGCAGGTCGGAGCTTCGGATCCCATCCCTTACTTGTGTGAAACGGGATACTCCTAGCATCGTCCTTTCGACTGCGCGTTCAATAACGCTGAGTGACTTTTCATGATGCTTACCCAGTGACCAGGTCCCTGACACATACGTTAAGGCAGGAAGTACCGTTGAGTTGGAAAGGTGGACACGGAGTCGGATGTTCTTTGCTATCTTCACTACATCCTCTTTTCATATTTATTATAGACATTTAAAATTCCTCAAGACGTTCGTTTCGACTCTAGAATTCAACTCTAGAGCTAAGTCTTTCGTCATGCTGATTTTCTGACCTAGACGAAGGTTACTGGAACATTCAGAGATATTGGTGTGATTGGGGAAACATAACCAACCCGTTGCTCATGATTATCGTTTTTACAAGATTTAGTCGAAGATCAATTTTTCAACATTCGTTATCAAAGTCCGCCAGTGTTTTTTTCCGCTTTGCCAATGCTTGGTGTTATAAGAGCGATGTCATCAGCACAAGGAAAATGGTCTATTTGTCGACCATCGATTTTCACCCCCACATTAGCGCATTTAAAGATTCGTATAACGTTCTCGAGGGCAACAGTGAGATATTTTTACTAAATTATATCGCCTTACCCAACCTCTTTTATAACATCAATGTTAATGCTATTATGGATGGTGATATTTTAGTTGTGAAGATTTTTAAAAGCTCACGAATAACCTTTATGTACTGAGAAAGGAGGCTTTGGCACTTCAGAGCTTCCGTGACTGCGTCTATTTAAGCTGAGTCAAAGTCCTTCCTTAAATTGATGGAAGTGAGGCAAAGCAACTTTTTTCCTCTCCTGACACTTTGCTGATTATTGTTTGTTATCGTGTTAATGTGATCCATAGTATTAAATCCTTTTCGAAACCCTGCTTGCTCATGTAGCTGTCCTTCGTCCGGTGTTCTGCTAATCGTACTTAGAATGACTCTTGTGAAAAGTTTATAGACGACGGACAGCAAGTAATTTAGGCGATAGTTGCTGATATCCTTAAGGTCATCATTCTGGAATAGTAACAAGGACGTGTTGGTCTCCACTGAATAGGAACTTTGCATTCTGGCGGTTAACGTATGAAGAGACGAGTCAGTGTGTCAACAAAGACTGGCGAAACGTTCTTCAGGTGGTCAGACCTTATCCTGTTCGAACCTGGTGCTTCTGGAATCTTTGCCGATGAAATAGCATGTCATATTTAGGCACGTAGAATAAATAGATGGGACGACATATCCATCCTGCTTTATTTCTTGTGAGACCAAGAGGACGTGGCTACTGAAGAGATCTGAGTAGTCATGGTGAATGATTTCTCCATTGCTTTCTGGGCGCTGTGACTGCTTCGTCTGTGTGAGAGTGCAATCAACTTGGTTTTGTAACTGCCAAAGCTTCGGTTAGCTTTACGACTACTTTTCCAGCCTCTGCAGCTTCAAATGTAGCTGCTGGTCTTGTCTCTTTAAGACGGAGCTGAGATGGCGGTTGCCTGTAGCTCATGCGATTCTACGCTGGCCTATCAGCTTGATTGTTTCCGGAGATAGACGTCTCTTGGTGAGTTTGGAACTCCCAGCTTTCATAGCTCTAACGTGAAGATGTTGAACGAGCCAATCGCATTTCTCGCCGTTGTTATTGCGAACAACATCTTTCCAACAGGAAACTAATGAACTGGATAAATCCCACTTTATAGTAATCTTGAGAGTTTCTTTTTTAAGATTTAGTTGCTTTTTCACTTGTACACGAGAAATAGACTCTTGCATGAAGTAGGTAATGGCATGAGTAGGCGTTTTTTTTGGAATTTTGAGAAGAGAATTTGGAGAATTTGGAAACAACAGCGCCATTGGTTTTTCAAAGGCTTTGATTTACACCATTTGATTTATTATAATGTGCTCTATATCGTTATACTACTCTACAATGGAAGACTCTCACGTCCAGTGTTCGGAATGGGGCTGCTGGAGCTGCGAATTGCCATGGAAGGTCTTTATCGTCATGAGAAACTGAGACAGATGCTCAACTTGCTCGTGCCATTCAAATTAGTGGATCCCAATGTAACGTTTTTCAAACGTTCTCCTGGATCCAATCTTATCGCTGAAATATCCAATATTGAAGAATGTGTGGTCTTCTCCGAAGAACTTCCCCGAGTTCATAGTAAGCACTTCGACTTTGTCTTCGTCACGGCTTGATGTCGGTGCACAGACGACGAAGGTTCTCAAGATCGGTATTGGCCCACATCTTTCAACCGTAAAGGTCCGATTCGGTTTAACAGCTGCACGAATAAATCGATGTTCATGGTCGTAGCTGTGTTGACAAAAACGTCGACGTGGTCGATCCTTCCGTTGTCGTATGTTTCGTGGAACAGTTTTTCTCTGATGTCATAGACGGAGCTTATTGAGTTGTATCTTCTCGTCTCAGCCAGTCCGATGGCGTCGTACTTTATCTTTCTTTCCTAAATTATCAAGCCCTCTACCACTGAGTCAGATTGAAGTGAGCGTGTATTGTAGGTAAAGATCGTCGCCTTAGCCCTCTGTGATATACGGAGCATAGAATAACAATGAAATTTTAACGTCCCCTTCTTACCCGTCCTACACAACGCAGCCGTATCGCGGGAGCTTTCTTGACCCGTGGAATGAGGCCCACCCATTCTACTATGGTTGACCCTTGATACCCATACACCCCCCTAGCTCGCTGAGCTCTAAATGTGGTGGCTGCGTTCACTCATAGGTAGCTTTCCAGTCTCTCCAGAGGGAACAAGGAGTTCATTTGCTGGAGGTGACTCTTGACCGGCTGCCATATTTCCCTGTTATTTTATTGCAGGCTTTTACCAAATTGGCTCGTAGAATATAATCCGCGTAAACGAGAACACTTCCTCTCACGCATGCATGAATAGATCCTTATAAATGCAGAAGGTATTTGCCAAATCGGCTTATAAGAAGGAAGAGGTTCATCTCGTGGATCCGTCTTCGTCTCAGTAAAGCATAAGATCGCTTTTGGTTGCGATTAGCCCACTATACACCACCTAGGGACACTCCACGTTGCCTCTCGACTAACCGCCGAGAGATCCCTTTGTGAGGGAAAACCGGCTATGTATTATTTCATGCATAACTTCTTACTCAATGCCCGTGGTTTCGTTTTAATGGCAGGGTACTATGTGAAAAACAACCACAAAAGTGCAGAGTTTTGCAAATATCTCATCATCTTTGTGGTTGCCTTTCATATATTATTTTATGTAATTAATACTAAGTTTTATTCAGTCAGTATGGCATTTAGTAATGCTTCTCCATGTCTACCTCCTTCCTCTATTTACCTTTTTCTTCCCTTTTTCCTAAGTTATGCTTTCCAGCAAAGAATTTAGTTTGTCAAATTACAAATTTTATTACCAGCTCGACTGAATATAAATGCTGAAAGTCCGTTTCCAACGAGACCGAATAAGCCAATCAGTGGAAGAATCACTCCGCTTACAATCAGGTTGTACGTGACGTAGTCGGACTCACTCAACGAGTGGTCGCAAATACCGCACTAAATGAAGAACAGAAAAGACGTAACTATTGCAAATTCTTTATTTTGCCAGCAACAAACCTGTGGAAGACACCCAGTAAAGTTAAAGCTGTCAATGATACCAACATATCTAAGTCTTTCAAGTGATGCGTATAGTGGTATAGGTTCGCAGTTTGGTGGGTAGAGAATGCTCATAGCATGAGGCTCCCCGATCACTAAAATATGAAAACATATATAAGTTGTAGGGATAAACATATCCACACTAGAAAACAGAAATATAACGAAAGTTTTTTTAACTTATTATGACGCTTAAGAGGTGACAATCTTTAAAAAAGAAATAAGTAAAGAATGCAGGAATGAACTTTAGAAAAGCATTCTCCTTTCCTTTAATAGAAGCGATAAAAAGATCAATTTGATGCGATGAAGTCAAAGTAACATTATGCGAAGACAGGGAGGAAATAAGGCGGATAAACCGTTTGACGTTGATCAATTTGTGAGAGATGGGTCATGCTTTTGAGTCCATTGCTAACCATGCTAAGAAAGAATGAATGCAAATATGGTCTATACTACTACCTGCTTTTTTCAATACATCAGACTGGCATTTACCCGACGAGACAAGTTTGATGCCAATTTCAAGATTTCAAAGTGAGGGAGGTTTGGTTAGCTTGAAGCACGCGCTTGAACCGATCACTGCGTGCATATTGCAGGGCACCTCTAACCACTGCTCTCAACGCCGCCCTACAGCAGGATAATAGACAAATCCACGCTGTAAAAAACAGAATGTTAGTGAGAACAGAAGTATATATTGCAGCTTAACTCACATACAAATTTGCCCACCGCTATGGAGGACGTCAGTAGGACAACGAAACGAATAGAAGGAGTATTGAGGCTCGCACAGGGTGTGCGACTTGATCATGTTAGCGTATAAGTGTATTACCACACAGCTGAAGTTATTCGAAAAGTAGGAATGCTGATATGGAATCGTTCCTACAGGAACGTGCTGTGTAATTGTAGCATTAAATCTGAATGTTCGTGAACAACGTTCTGATTTCTTGCGCCTTATTCTCCTGCAGTTCTGCAAACCTGTTCTACACAGTAGCACGGTAACTCTCTCTGTATCAAATCAGCGTTCCAATCTCTCTGAAAAGTTTTGTGCCAAATGACTCCCAGATAGATGGAAGTGCTCACAAGTAAAGGGTACATGATCGAACAGAAAAACTCAGAACATCTCCAAGCACTGCTTTAAAAGGGTCCATTGATTCTTCCAGAAAAAGAAAACGTTTTCATATAAACTTGTTTAGGCTTAAAATTAAAGCACTGATAAAATGCAAATTTAATACGGTTGTTAGAATTTTTGGTAATTCCACTTTGACAATATGTTCGGTGGCGCCGTTCTTTCCAGCTATACGAAATCCTGCTTGCTCATTAGTTTCACTGCTTGAAAGAGGAGTCTCGACGTTTGGAAAAAGGATTGAAAAAAAGAACTCGATGTTTTCATTTCGGCGGAATAAACAACATATCATTTTGGCGAAGAAGTCTTTGCAGGCGTGTCACCTAATAAAGTTCACTAGCAATTGAGATATGTGCGTTTAGAGTTGTGAAACCGAACCATTTTCGGCCATGGATCCATCAAACATTTACGACTATTATTGTGAACGCGCGTGTGGCGCAGTGGTTGGAGGCGCCACTGCGACACACACGTGGTGTCGATCCCCGCGTCCATGGCCCACCAACTTGGTGAAAAAACCTCTCTGGGGTCGAAAAACTGGTACCAGACTTGTCTGGGAGGATAGCAGCACTGGTTCGATACATCGGTAGGCCACCACGAGTCATTGTAAAGGGCAGATATGCATTCATTCACCTCCAACGATACTTAATGAAGTCGAGTGCATGGGGTATTCTTCAGTGATTGGTCAATGCCGAATGCTTAATCCTTTTATCCCTTACTGGATAAAATGCTGTGTGGGTTCATTTTGAATATGCTACTAACAGACACAAATTCACGCAACCGTTCATCAATGAGAGTTTATTGCAAGTGGAGGTGAGCGTGGAGAAAACCACATTAGGATATAAATTGTAAACAAAAAGAAGTTGTGAAATAAGATGTATATCACAGTCACATGACGACCATGATCTCAGAATTAAGTAATAAATCAGTCGAATTGAGAGTACATTCAGAGGTTGGGTCCTAACAACAAGCAGACAAAGTGTGCACTAGCGTATAGTCGTGGTGAAGATTTCGGTTCGTTGAATAGTGTGCACGTTTCCAGATGTCTAAACTACAGAAATGCTCCCTTCAATTTGCCATAAACCGAACCTCAAATACATATGAAAGATTGGTTGGCCTGTGATAGTCGGACATGGCGGTATAGTCTAATGTTGAAGGTTTGATGAAAATCCAACACCTTCACCGCCAACTATCTATTGAGATTCAAAAAATTATGCTTGAAATATGAAATTAGAGCAGTAATTCATGCAAATAACAGTTCTGATAAGAAATGAACAATGCAGATTAATCAATTTGCAGAATTCCACGATGCATGGTCACAAACTACAGCTTTTTTAACTACAGCCACAACTTAACTGGGTTCTATTCTGATTTGGGCTCCCAGAACAACCCCGCTGACGGGTGATTGCTGTGGCAAAAAAATCGATAGAAATAGCTGAGAGACAGGCAAAGCGAAGGACCCGCATGGTGTGGTGGTGAACGCGTTACTACCCGGAAAGGACAATAGCGCGTTCATTCTCCACCATAGACACCTGCAGTCCAGAGTTTTGCAGTTATCTCAGCAACGTTGTGGTTGTATTTCGCTTAGTGACCTGCCATGAAAATTATAGAAGGCAGAAAACAAAACGTTAAATAAATTTGTATTCGCATAAGAAACGGCTTCATTTAAACACCTACCGTTCATTTGTTGTAAGTATTTAAGTTAGTTGATGGATAGCCGCCGCACAGAGTAATACATGGGCGATAACTGTGTCTGTGTCAGGTCATTGGATTAGCCTGAGGGATGGCGCCAGGTCACGCGTGATGACAAGGCACTCCTCCTTGCGGTTCATTTTTGAATTTTTGGAATTGATCCAAAACGCTTCAAGAGTTTTACACGCTGATATTTTCGATTCGTGCGTGAGGATAGTGACTCCCACTTCAAAATCTTTTCCGTTGTGTTCTTGCATCTTATGCGCACCTAGTGGAGTGATTGGTTATAGTTTAGATTTACCGACTAGGTGTTCTTCTACGCGGACGCAGAGCGGTATACCGGTTTCTCCAACGTATTCGTCCCCGCACGCTTTACAAGAGATCAGATAGGCTGTGCCCGAACTCATGCAATCACCGTCTCTACCATTTGGGCAAATTATGCAGTTTTCCGTTGTACACAGACCGCCATATAGGCGGTTGCTAACTAGCTGTCGTTTTAGAGTGCTCGATGGTATTTCTATCACTCTTAGGGAATTCTCTAGACCGGCCCTTATTAAGCAACGTTTTATTGCTGCACTTATTTGGTTGAAATAAAGGACAAGAGGAACGGAGCCTTGTTCTCGCTAAAACTATCGCTCTGGGGCGTGGGTTTTCCTCTATGCCTATGCCGAAAAGCTACAGTTTCGTGGCCGTTTGAAATGGCTATTTGGCGTGCCAGCTTCGAGGATTCTTCCCTCTGATCTCTACCTGTGCACACGCTGGCAGCGGTGCGAAACATATTTCTTATAAGCGCCCTTTTAATGGGTGAGGGAGGAGGCTAAATAATGGGTTGTAAACCTTTGTACTATAAAACATTTGAAACCTTCTAACCTAGTCAAAAGCGACGAGGATCATTCTGGATGAAGGAAAACATATCTGGAGGCATGATGTTGTAGGTAACTGTTAAGAATGATTCTGAGAAAAATCAGCTGTGTTCATGCGCCTTGATAGCACGGTATAATGAGAGGTCTTTGGGAAAAAAATCACTAGAGCGTGAAAAATGAGGGTGAGAACAGCTATTCAGCGATATTCGATTAGCTGAAGTGTTGCTAAGACCAGTAGTTTCAAGTGAGTTTTTAACGGCTACTATCTGGCACAGGTACCACTCGGCCGAGAACGAAGCGTGGAAATGCGAAATCCTCGAGAGAACGAAATATCAGCGAGATGTTTTAAAGTTGTTTACGTAGTCAGCAAAAATTAACAGAGTACGAGTGAGAATAAAGTAGGACTGCATAAGCAGATCAATAGAGATTGGGCTATAAACGATGAGTTTTTCTGCCACAGGATGAAAGCTGGGCATTTCATCACGAGGATGCTTCCAAATTCACACTGCAACTTTGAACGTCAATCTCACAGTGCAGATACGCATTCTTCGAAATTGACATCTTTTTGCTCACTGCTCCAATCCATAAAAAACGAGCTCTTCAGGCAGAGTTATATTTTTGCTCCGGTTTTATTTAAGAAGTCACCGCGATCATCTTCTGAGTCCCAAATCAAAAAGAATTTCTACTGAAAAAGCTTTTGGCCATGCTTGCAATATCTTGGCAAATAGATTCTGCTTATGAAAGAACCTCCCTCTCAAAGCTCGCTGATAACTTTTAGGAAGGAGTCCATTGAGGTGAAAAGGTCATAGAAATATTTAAAAAAAGATCTATATCGTTTATTGTTACCACCAGAGAAATCGTTATCGTTCAGAGAAAGAAAAGCTGTTGGGATTTAGCATATTCTCACCATCGGCTTACTGAAAAACTTAATCTTAGTAGTTCTTCGAGCAGTTCATAAAATATTTGCAAATCGAAGAGAGATAACAATGAAGTGTTAAAGTCATTGTTTGCAGATTTCCGATAGAGCCAGTGCTCGCGTGTTAAAGAGATCGAAACAAAACTTCTGAATGGATCTTTCAGGAATAGAATTGAGCGGCATTTCATAACATTTCTTCAAAGATGTTCTTTTTTGTTATAGTTCGATGGCATCATATTCTCGAAGTCTGAGTTAGAAATGCCAATTATGTTGAATAGTGCGATGAAAAATACCCGAAATGGCGTTATGCTAGAAGTTACTGAAATCACATATGGAAATGACCGTATGAACATAAGGAAATTCTCTTGAATCTAGTTCATCAATGGAACCAAGGAGTGGTGCGGTATTCTGGAGACAACACGCGTTTTACGAGTCGAAGATGCTTAAACTTGTTTCCCAGGGAGTGAGAGATTCAGTGAATCGCCGCCAGCTGAGGAGCACTAATACTGCGATGGCGAAAATGAACTAAACGATCAAAACAAAGTTAGGAAAACTTATGTATTGAGTGTATGAG